AACTTAATTTTTATATTAATATATCATAGAACAGTTCTAAACAGTGGTCAAGTACTGCTGCAAAAGTAAGTGAGGTTACCCAATAACATACCTTTCAGATTGTTTGTGTTTCATTTCTTACACCTTTGTATTCCCCTCAGTTTTTTTTTTTTTTTTCCTTTGAAACATTTTCTGTGCCTGGATGTCACAGTAACCGTGTAACTCTGACTCCCTAACCTGATGATGGATATACCAGTATCCACACACTAAAGAGGTAAACAAACACTTCTCTAGCTGAACACAAGTGGGCCTGGTAAACTTCTTGCAGAGATTAGAGCCCATTATATTTCATATCAGTTTCATTCTGCATTCACAATTTGTTCCATTCAAAGTCGGATGTGGGATAGTCCCACTTGATATCGCTGATATTTATCTGTAAAGGCATTTCATTGCTCACTAAGCAGTTTCCGTTTATCAACAGAGGTGTTTCCTAGCAAGCACATTTTTAATGTGGATAAACAAGGATGTTCTACTAGTATTCAAGAGAGGATCATTTTACACATCTGTCTCTACAAACATTTGCTGAAAAACTCTGATTAATGTTTGATGTAATCTTGAGTGATTGATACATTTGATTTGCTTAAATGTGAATGTTTATCCTTGAGTGGCACCATGTTTGTGTTGCGTCAAAAAAGTTTTGTAAGATGTAAGTCAGACTTACAGTGAAATTTTTTAGAGGGCTGCAAGATTGAGTCCTAAAACCAGGAAATAAGTCAGCATTTTTGAACTTTAGTGTCATTGTCCCAAAGTCAATGTGTGTGTTTTTTTTTTTTTGACTGGGTTTTTGGTTAAATTCCTGAAAAAAGGTCAGTGGTGAGCACAAGCTCAAGATATTTTCATATTATATTCTAGTATGTAAAATACATATGTAATACCCCACTCATTTATTTAAGCATTTGAGTGTCTTACAAAAAGTCAGTTTTTTTACAGAGATTGTCAAAGACATTGTCAACATCATCACACAGAGCAAAAAGATTCACTAGTTTGCTTTTACAGTCTTATTGTGTTCATACTCACACTCTGTTAGAATAGTTTGCTCAAATTCTGGTGTACTTTGTTTATAGCCTTTATAACTTTAGCTTTTATCTTTTTACTTCTGGCAATTGTATTTAGGCTTCAAAATTAATAAAAGTTGTGTTCATTTGTGACGATTATCATGATAAACAAAATATGTAAAATTCATAATTTTTTGTTTCCAAAAGCCAATAGGAAAACTACTGACTTTTTGTGCCATTGGGTGTTGCTGACTTCCCTGTTGGCCTACACAAATACGCCATCACTGCAGCAGTTTAATGAAAGACGGCATTACAGTATATCTTAGTGAAAGAATAAAATTATTATATTAAAGTTAACCAGTGAGATTTTCCTTTTTTCACCATCTGATTCATGCATTTGATTAGCATATTACCTCCAGCTCTTAACGTAATCTTAATTAGAAGTGTGATTCTCAAAATCTTCCTAAAATTTCAAAACACCCTCCTGAGAGACTGTGGGCTGCATGCAAGCCTCAAGCAACTAGATGGATATTTATCTCTTTCTGATTCATTTGGCTTTGATAAAGTTGATGAGCTTTTTAATCAGACTGTAAACTGTGCTGTCTGTCATGCTCATCCCAGAGTTTTTTTTTTTAATGTATTTCAATCCATTCAAATATTTTTGTCTTTCTAAACAAAGAGACACATTGCACAGCTTAGGCAGAAAAAGTATTAAAACATATAAAGCCCATTAAAATAATAAACAATGGAAACTGATGTGTACTTAGAGCAAAGTCTGTATTTTGAAAAGATTGGTGTTACGATGTAGTCCCTCATTAGCTTCGAAAAGTCCTTTTGAATATGCTTTCTTTGAAGAGTGATTTTTTTTTTTTTTTTTTTTTTTCCTTTTTGTCTTTTTTTTTTTATTATGACATCATAGACACCGGGAGATCTATTAAGTTGCATTCACGCACGGTTCTCTTCTTGGAGCTTCACTAAGTGAGCATGAAAAACAGTAACAATTAAAGAGCGCTTAAGCCTTTCACCCACTCCTCCAGCTAATTGGTGACACTGCAATTTGGTTTAGCCCAATTACACACACTCTCTCTCTGTGTTGATTAACAATCATCCACCTCTCTTTTTTTCTCCTCCTTTCTTCCATCAGGACAGAAGTCGTCCGCGGGGCTGAAGTGTTGAGTGAGCACGCTCATATCAACGATAATGTTGTTAACGTCCTGAATGCCTGTGCTTTACTGGATGGCGACTGGAGGCAATTCATTTGACTTGTGTAACTGACTAAAGCTCGCTCTCTCCCACTTGTGATTTGAGGGTAATGAGGCTTTTGTCCTTTGTACCTACTAGAGTGAGTGAATACAAGATTATGCATTATTGTGACTCATAAGCATAAGCAGAACTGGGCGGGATGACAAATAGATACAGGAAGTGGCTGTGATGGTGTGCATGTTTATATCCTCAGCTCAGGTTGTCTGGTTGTTCGTATTGATTGTGTAATCCTTGTGGGCTGTTTGCTTTCTCAGGCGGCTTCGGTTGATTGGCTCTTCTCATTCATCCCTCAGACTCTTGTTGCTACAAAGATCAATTCTACAAACAGATCACACGCTAAAACACGTTAAAAGTGACTACACATACGATGTATAATTTATTTATTTATCATTTCATTATTATTTTTTTAAATGACTATTTTTATTATTGTCATATTGTTATTATTTAATTTGCCGTGCGTAATTTTTCTCCTTATTTGTAAGTATTAGTCAAATTAATACATAAAAAGTGTGTGTGTATATGTGTGTGTGTGTATATATATATATATAATATATATATATATTTTTTTAAAATAGTGGGACATCAAAAATATCTCAGTGAAAATGTGCAAAAGTTATATGACTATTGTAAAACATTACTAACTAAAATATACAATCACTGGATCAGTACCCTCAGAGACACAACTTTGCACCTTATTTACGAGGTTTACTGTAGTACCTTAAGGGTACTACTCTAAGGTAGTAATGTGTGTGTGTGTTTTTAGGGGTAGATAAGGTACAGAGTTGTCCCTTTAACGGCCAGTTCACACTGCACTGACAGACGCCAACAAACAGCAATAGACACGTTTGTCTGGTTTTGTCTGATCAGTGTTACACCTGTCAGCATCTGCTGGTGTTGGTCGGTACAAAGGCAGCACAAATCTGTAGGTACAAATCGCTTCCATTCCCAGGTGAAACATCCACTGAATGGCTTCAACCCAGAAAGACACTGCGACCCATTGAACAGACTGTCTATCTCTCACAGTCTCGGTTTCATTCAATATGGCAGCAATCAGGACTTTTGTCATACCACTTAAAAGAATGTGCTTTTATAACTTTCTCAGTGAAAGTGCTCTGGCATTATTGGGCCTCATTCTCCGCCCATTAGAACCATTATCCAGCTCGTTAAGAATTAATTGCCCTCATCATTAATAGATTTAATAAGGGACCTCTGACTTGTGCTGATTTGGTTTTGAAATATGGTAGATTAAATGGTTGAAAAGGCAGTTTCAGGCTCTTGCATTACCTCAACTACACTCTGATTAGTCCACTGCTAATTTTAGCGTTTGAACAGCTTCAGATGTAATGAGCTTGGCCCCTTAATATATGATGCTTAAGCAAAGAGACTAGAAAAGAATATTAGAGCCCAAGACGTCCCCAAGGTGTGCAAATGCAGTAGGGTTTAAACCCTTCCCATGGTGCAAATTCAAATTTCGTGATCGTATAACACTTCATATATTTATATTATGCACCCCATATTTTTGCAGAGCCTCACAAAGCCTCAGATTGTCTAATTTGATATTGAATATTCTTCCTCTAGGCAATGTGTCTGTGGAGTTGATGCTATGTATTTGTAATAATGCTGACTGAATGAAGGCTCTGTTTGAATGTGAATGATTGGTAGATGACATTGTCCCCATGGCCCTGTTCCTCTGATGTTTATGTCAGTATATTGAGCCTTATTCAAACTCCATCACCTTTGGTTACTGTTACTCACTCATTCAAAGTTTACAGAATGACCCATAGAAATAAATTGATTTTCAGTCAAATGTGCAACAAAAAAAAAAGAAGTCAAAATTGAATGGATATTCTTATTCTTATTCTTTTATCTTATTTATTTTTTTATTTAATTGACATTAACTCAGTGTTAATGCCCAACTCAATCTGAGCAGCTGAGTCCTTAGCCATCTTCAAGAAACAACTAAAAACAAATCTGTTCCATCTTTATTTGACCCTCTAACTCTAGCACTTTCTATTCTATTTTATTCTATTTCTATTTCTATTTATCTTTTTTTATATAAAAAACAAACTAACACAAGCTTTCTTCTTGTTATCTACTTGTTTTTCTCTGTGTGTGTGTGTGTGTGTGTGTGTGTGTGTATATATATATATATATATATATATATATATATATATATATACTTTTGTTAGTTTTGATTGCTTCTATTGTCCTCATTTGTAAGTCGCTTTGCTGGTGCTGACCGTGAACTGGCAATCGAAAAAAAAAAAAAATGGATTGTGTATGACTACCAAATACCTTTTTCCTTTCTTTTAGCTCTATACATTTTTCACCTTAAATGTATGGAGCTAAAAGAAAGGCAGACGGCATCAAAATAGCCATTGAGCAGTCTGTGTATGTGTGAGAGAGGAAATCAAACCTGTTGGAGTGCAAATGTGCATGTGAAAAACATGTGTGAATGCTTTTCACTGCACTGGATGGTGTTGCATAAATGATTGACGTAACAGTCAGTTCTATACGGCATTGATTCTTTCATGCTGGATGAACTTGTTTATCATTGATTGTATGATTGAAATACAAATATGTAACAGCTGTCCTCAGTCCAGCCTCGAAGGTTAGAGGAATGTTATCCACAATTGCAATTACAAACTCATGAATCTTATTTGATTGACTGATCTATTGATTTTCCATGTGTCTTGTCTCCAGCTGTTTCCTGTCCCTGCTGCTGGTTGCTGCTGTGGTTTGGAAAGTCAAACAGATGTGCTGGGCATCACGCAGGAGAGAGGTAACTTCTGGACAATAGCACTTCCTGGACTCATTGACGTGTCCATACTTGTATTGGCTATTGCCTGCGGTTTCTTTATATGATGCCCATGATTTCAGGTGTGAAGCTGAAGTGTTTAATACTTCGGCTTAACCAATACCACGAGTTAGGGGCAGGACTTTCAGTTTGTGCGACCAATGGAAGACAGAAATGAAACACTTTAGCTGTAATGTGTTTGAGTGCCCATATGCAATTGAATTTACAGGTTTGTGTTAGTTGGGATGTTATTGTTTTTACCAGCTGTGACCTCCCATGATGCTCCTGGGTATGGTTGATCTTTGTAAACCGTCTTATGACTTTAACCTCATTATAGTTTATGAAACTCACTGTCATGCGGCATTACTATGCTCAGATTGGAGGACACCGGGTAAAGCTGATCATTTTATAACATGTTCCTCTCGGTGTCTGATGGGTGCGTAACTGCCAGCCAAACTGCCTTCTTTTAATGAGAGAGGCACAACAATAAACACTGCCATTTCCCTTCATTACCCATCTTCACAAACCAATTAACCCTGACAGGGGTTCATGTAAAAGGAATGGATTAGTGTGATATATCTGTCTAAAAGCCCCAACAGATGCCGCCTTCTCTCACGTCTCTCACTTTCTCTCTTTTTATTCCTTCTTTTGTGTGTCATTTTAGTGGCTACATAAATGCAAATGGGAGTTTGCAAGCGAGTTGTCATTGAGCGTTTTATAATCAATACAATAATCGAGGCCTCTCTAATTGAAAGCATGTCGAGAGCTGTAACTGTGGGTTTATCGGAGTTAAATGCGTGCTGTTTTTAACGATGGCTGTCACAGTTGCTGTTTTCCTTTTCATCAAATATATACTTGTAGAACGAGCATTTAGATAATGGAACAGTATAGGGCAAATGAAAGACAAGCTTCACACTGCATTCAACGCTCCAAAAGCCATTTTGATCAGCTAAGTAAAGCTACAGTAAATAATGAATCTATTCAGAGTGTAGTGTACTTCAGTGTACTGATTGGCATGAGAACCTGAGTACTCAGCAATGACAGCCATGATCATTAAAACAATACATCTAAATCTTCAAAAGATTTTACACCAGCTGAACTTAGGTAACCGCTATATGTCAACAGGACCTAATTTTTTACTTTTGTGATGAGTTATGCTGTTTTTCAGTGATACCTTGTAGACCGATACTTCAGAAAGCGATTTGTGTCATGGTGACTCTCATTCCAGGTCATCACTCAATGGTCTGAGCTGGACGTTCACACAGGGCACATTCTTCCTTTCAGACAGCTAGATGGAGCACAACTGAATGGAACAAAACGTATGGGTTTTAAATGTCTTTTTTTTAGAGAGAGA